GAAAACGCTATAATTGAATACCTGAGGACAGACATCATTACCTAAGGTCGAAAGACAGAATTCAGTGCTAATAATTTTGATAGAAGCACACCGCAAGTAAGTACAGTGTTGTGGACAAAAAGGAGGATCTTGCTACAAAAACTTTGAAAAAAAAAAGGATGTATATACAGAAAAAGTTATTTAGCAAAAGGAATAAGCAAGGTTTATGAAGATCGCCAATAAATTTTGTGAAATTTATTGAAATGAGCTTAAACTTGATGCATTTTATAAATTTTTCTTCAGGTTTAGTTTCAAATTTGTTACCTTTTTAACTCGTTCCTCAAAGACGATGCACACGAAACTAATTTAATTTTGTTCTTTCCGAGCTTCTTTTTCATTCATGTTTATTTTGTATTCTTGTTAATTTCTTGCTAAAAATTGAGAATATTTAGCAAACCTGAATTACAAATTGCGTCTACATTTTAACGGACCTTGTTTCTAACTTCCTGCTTGCAAACTATTCGTTTCCAAATTTCTAAAAACTGTTACCAGTACCGAATTTGTTTCTTTTTTGGTGTTTCATCTCTAAATTTTCTTAGACGATTTTTTGTGTTGACGTTTAATGACATTGTTTTCAAATTAATTCAAAAAGCCGGAACTGCAACTTCTTTTATTAAAATTACCATGAATGAATTTACCTGTAGTGCCAACGTTAAGACTGTTTGGCATTTCCATTTAAAAAAAGAACAGACTTTAATAGTTATTTATGGTATAAGTGGGTTATGTTAGATATTACCTACGAGAGGTATGTGTAACCTACGAAGGCTTGCCCGAGTAGGTTATTACCTCGAGTAGGTAATATCTAAAAACCCACGTATGCCATACAACGTTTTATCCAATATATCTATTAAATCTGTTAAAAATAATCTGACGTTTCATATTAAGAAGTGCCAAACAGTTGTGAAAACTTTCTTATGCGGGAGAAAAACCGTAAATTTTGACAGTGTCGAGAGAATAAACAAATTTTCCACTGATTTGAGAAGTTAACTTTGCTTTTTATCTTAAAATTTCATCAAATTTTAACCAAAACATTTGTACAAGTGATCATGAACATGCAGCTTCTGGTTTGCAAGACGTTGAGTCCAGAGAGATTCCTGAAATTCATTTTCACGGTACACTTTCAATTGTTCATTTCTATTTTGGAAAGAAATTTGAAACATAATTTCAAATTTGATGTACACTTCTATTCAAAAAAAAGCGTACACGTATTGAGGGCTATTGTAAAGAGGGTAATTAATCAATCGATTCCAAAGAAACGTTTTACTGACATTAATCGTTTCCAAAGAAACGTCAAGTCAAGTATCTGTCAAGTATCTAAAAATTGATTTTTATAATTTAATTATGCCGCGACAAACATCACCAGTAACAAGAGCGCGGATTATTACAAAGTTAGAAGAAGGGTGGTCTATAAGGGCAGCGGCTGAAGCATTTCAATCAAACAAAAGCACTGTTTTAAAAATGAAAAAGAGGTGGGAACTGGAGGGCACTGTACAAAGGAAAGCAGGTTCTGGTCGCCAAAAGATTTCTATCGATGTTGAAGACGTTCAGCTCATAAATTATTTACGGGAAAATCCGTTTTATACAGCCAAAGATGCCATTGTTAACACAAATTTTCCGGTATCACAACCTACGGTATGTTGACGAGTAAAAAAATCAGAAATTAGTAACTATGTGGCTGCCAAAAAGATAAAACTTACCGAACAAAATAAACAATCTCGACTGCTGTTTGCTTTAAATTATACTCATCAAGAGATAGAATTTTGGGAAAATGTGGTCTTCAGTGACGAAAAATACCAATGACGGGCAGGTTCGTGTTTACAGACCACGCGGAACTAGATTTGATGAAAACTATATCAAAGCATTTGAAAGAAGTGTAAGATTTTCAATTAATACATGGGCATAGATTAGTTATCACGGTCTAGGGACATGTTGGCGCATAGAGAATAGATTCAACGTTCAAAATTACCTAAATTTACTTGAACATGTAATGTTGCCTTCGGTCCGCCAGATATATCCCGATAATAATTTTATCTATCAGCAGGACAATTGTCCTGTGCATACAGCCCACGCAGTTACTCAATGGCTAAGAAATAATAATATAGAAACGCTACCATCACCTGCCAGAAGTCCCAATTTCAATTGCATTGAAAACGTTTGGGGCCGTATGGCAAAAGAATTGTGCAAGTTGTATGTCAGGCCTCGTACTGCAGATGAGCTATGGGAAGTTGTTGAAAATAGTTGGGAAAGTTTAGCGGACGATAAAACTTTTGCCCAGGCACTTGTTCATTCAATGCCTCGTCGGTTAAATGAAGTTATCGCAAAAAACGGCGCGATGACCAAATATAAGAATAGCATGTTACATTTATTTAAATTGTTGAGAGTTGCCTTTTATTTTTGTATTAATTTATCAATAAATATTTGCGAGTTGTGTTTGCAATAATTGGTAATGGTTGTCTAATAAATAAGGCAAAAAAGTTACACACAAAATCTCTGAAAAATGCATCGATAAAATTCAGCTGTCAGCAAGAATTTAGTTACAGGTTACTAAGTAACGACAATTTAAAGATAAGTTTACAATATGACAATCTAGCCAAAATTGTGCACACTACATAAAGTATATTTCATTGAAATTGGCATAATAGATGGCTATGGAATTTCGTATTTAAGTTTGTAGCCCTGTGCATGTCCCTGATATAACAGCTGATGGGGTTTTTGTTTTTCTTTGATCACTTACCTACATGGTTTATTTAACTGACATGACTGACATTTGTATTCGTTTTTTCACTGTTTTCGTTGGTTGTTCGTTATTCCTACTATTTTTTCAAATTATAATTAAAAGTAGTTCTCTTCAGAACCCCAGATTTAAAGTACACGCT